CTATCTTCCCTTCATGTCCCTTCTCTTAGACCCTCACCCCCCACTCACCTACCAGGTCCTTCCGTCCTTCACCCCACTAGACAACCAGTGGTCGACCAGGTACTGAGCCACTTAACACGTCCCTGGCCCGAAGAGCCAAAAACGAAAGGAGTCGCGCCGAAGCTCGTCGGAGTCAGCATGAAGATCCACCACCTCCGAGCCTTCTGTGTTGGACGCCGAGCCACTGGCCATGGCGATGAGAACAAATGTTCGGTGGCGAGGGGTAGAGGATGGTAGAGGTATATAGATGGTGCAGGTAGAGGGGGTATCGAGCTAGCTGGACGCCACCCCTGTAAAACCATGTAAAACCTCCTCCCGACATCTTACTTGCTGGAAGTCCTCATCTTGCCACCCTTCGACCTTCGTGGTCAGTTGATGTGCGGGGAGACTCGACCTTCGTGGCGACCCGCTCCAACCGTCACTTCGTTGACTCGGGGGGGACTCGACTCCGGTGAGTGCGGCGTGGCGAAGTGCAAATCATGTGAAAGCCCTTCAGCATGGTGAAAGTCGCGGGCCCTATAGCTGCCTGAAGCTCAGCACGGATGATATAGGTTCTTATGTTTTTTCTCGGCTTGCTTTGTCCATGATTTTCAGAAGCACACTTTTCATTCGGCTTGCTTCCCATGTTTTTGTTCATGCATGTTCATGCCATGGTTGCTACTGTGGACGACCACTTAGAACGTGTCTTCCAACATCTCCGACCCTGCGCCATTGGAACAGCTTGGATTGGCCATTTTCTTCGATGCTGTGACTGTTGCAGCTGGTGTCTTCCATCTACCTTCATCTGGAAGCCAAAGTGGTCGACGGCACCCTGGACCCTCCACCTCACAGCTTGTTGTGGGTCAGGAGGTCATTTCTGCGATGACCCTCGGACTCACTAACACGGAAGGGGAACACCGCCTGTTTGTAGAGGACAATCGTCTTCCAAGTGGCCATGCCGTCCGCTTCCATGCGTTCGTCCGAGTGTACCTGGTCTGGATAGGTAGGTTGACCAGCAGGATGCAGGTCCTGGAAGACCCCTGCCGGCACAAAAAATGTCGACCCATTGGTGTTCCACCAAGCGCCAAGTGTATGAAACCCTCAGGAACCTTGGCGTTGGGGGCATCCAATCTTCAGTCGTCCAATTGAAGCCCTACAATCTTCCTACAAAAAAAGTGGCTGCGCTGCATATAGCTTACATTCCTCAGAACCTCAACGTATACATACATCCCTATAAGGATGGTCCTGTCATATATGCCGATCAGTTGGGGTGGTTTTTGGGGGTCAATGTAGGCATATATGGCAGTCCCATGGAGTGTCTAGGAATGTAAATATGCCAGTCACATGGATGGTCTAGGACACAAATCCCATACCCCAGCAGAAGGACCTCTCCCTGAGAGCCCTCGCTCGGCCCCCCGCAACCAACCCAAAGTGCCCGTTGCCTCACGAGCGTCCCCGCGGATGTGGATGGCTGTTGACGGGTAGAAACTCCCGTTTCGCCGGAAATCCCTTGAAAAAGGTTAACATGTTTCCATCTGTTCTACCATCCGCAGCCTAACATTGAAGCTGCTGACTCGGAACACTCTGGAGCACATGCTTCAATCTGTACATATTTAATTGATTAGTGGGGCCCCCCAATCCCCCAAAAAAGGTGTTGCATCTTTTTGCAGGTTATCCACTGACTGGGTCGGTAAACGAGTCCCTTATAGTACCTTGATTAAAAGACCCACCAAAAATTCGGCCGTCGCGAAGTGGGGGGAACACGAAAAAGGTCAAACTAGGCGAGCAGGCTGAAGAAGCCACCCCTACTTCATCCTACTTCCAAGCCTTCACCACCCAAGTGGGCTGACAGAGGTCACGGAGGCCCGACGGAGGCGCAAGATCCCAGTGTGGCTGGAAGAACTGGTCAAGCCCTTGGTATCTCCAAAAAGGCTCCGTGTGCCATCCTGGCAACTTTACCCAGGACCCAAACGCTCCATGTATGGCATATTTGGGGTGATTTCAGGGGTCAATGTAGGCATATATGTTTTCATGTGATACATGGAGTGTCTGGGTAAGAATTGCGCCATCCTTGCAAGAACTGGACTTCAAGGCCTTCAAGGCCGGCTGGAGTGGTGTTGTATTTTGGGGGGGCTTTTTTGCCACTCCAAGCAGGTCGAACAAAACATACAAAAACGGTTGTGTTTTGAAATTGCCTCGAGGAAGGTGCCGGGATTCACACACAAAGAAAAAAACAACAACATTGTGTACACCCGGGAAGATTAACATGGAACCTGAAAATTGACCTTTGGAAGACTATTTTGCTCTACCACCCAGTGGTTCTTCGGTTTCATGTTAATCTTCCAGTGCATATGCGATGGTCTTTAGGAGTTGCAGTAAGCATCCGAAGATCACTGCACCTCCTGCTTTTTGAAACCACAACAATTCACACCCAACAACTAACTATCCTCCACAACATCTTGGACGGCTAGGCACCACTAGTGGCACCCTTTGTGGAGAATCAAACATACATCAGGTTAGTGGCACATTGGGGTTCATGTTGCACCCAAACGGTCATATGGCATAATGATTATAGCTGCATGGCCCCCCGGGCCATTGATGTCGCAAGACTCTGCCACCAAACGGCCCTTCTCTGCCTGGCGAGGCAGGCAAACCCATGTGGAACACCCCTCCCTCCTAGGTCTCCGCCCTAAACAAAGTGTTAGCTTACATTCACATCATCACGTCTGAACTTACAGATTCCAAGAGCAACCTGGTTTGAACCGTAAAAATCAGTTTTCAACTTGTTCGTTTTTTTCGGTGTTCGCCATGGTCAGCCCCAGGCCACATCCAACTCATGCCAGGCCCGGCCACGAACACGCCTCCCTGCAGGTTCCTCTGCACCAAGCATTTCACCTCGCTCCGGCCGGTCAAAAGACCGGGAGTCCGTCCTCCGCTTTGGTGGAGACCGGGAGACCGGGAGACTTAACACTGTGAACCCACCCGTGTGAACCCCAACCCGATGACAGAAGAAGCCCTGCGGAGTGTGGGGGCCCATGTGGATATGTGTTCTTCGCAGCTTGGGAGACCATTAATGGTGGTCTCAGATGGTCTCAGAGGGTCTATGGCGCACCCCAGAATTGGTTTAAAGGACCTACAGGAAGGCCATAGTTTAATTAGGTGAAAACAAGGGTATCTTATCTTGTAGACTTCCCCTTAAACCAATTCCATTCCATTCACCATGGGGAGCGACCACACAGGCTGATCCAGTTGGCATGGGCCAGCACCTTCCAATTGGCAGCCTCGAGGGCACATGGGCTGATCCTCCCCGTTCACCCTACATCTTGAAATCAAAAACGGGATTCGATGGACACACTGCAATACACTGGGAGTGTTGACAACTAGGCCCGCGCGGCATTCCGAGATCAGTGTGAAACCCACCTCACAAGAGAGCATGAAAAACGGAAGGACTATGAAGAACAAACCATTTGTAAACCCGAACAGTCTGCAACCCGACATGGATTTCCAACGCTCAGAAAGCCATATCAACCAGGCGGCGATGCAAGCGCTGGCACCCATCAGCGCGATGCCAGAGCCTGGCGATCACAGTCAGGCGATCACCGTCCTGGCATCCTATGGGCTCCATGCGCAGCTGCATCGTGGGATGGATTTGACTACATCTGCGTGGTGTTTTTTAAGCTCACGTGTTGTCTGAACACAACATCAGAAAACACCAAACACACAAAACACCTTGTGTTGCAAAGCTCTTGCTTTATCAACCTTTGGTGCATCGATTGGTGGGTGCCTGCACTCCAGAACTCCTCTTCAAAAAAGAACTGGCAGTGCTCCTCAAGTCGCAGGGGCTCAGACAATATCCCCAGAAGGTGCTTAGACCCCCCCTGGCAGCCACCCCAAACCATCTTCTCAGGAGGTAGGCCAGGAGCCCTAGAAAGTGAACTACTCCGGTAACTACCCCTGGCAGTTCTTCCTCGCAACGGCCACGACCCCCACCTTGCGCCGCCGTCACTGAGCAGCCAAACATGAGGACGTGAGTGGACTCGCCGCCTGCCAGGAGGTCAAACCTTCCACTTCACGCAGTGCCGGCCCTCCGCCGAGCTGAAGACATGGAGGCTTCTGGAGGATTCCACAAGTCGCAGATGGCCTACAATGGCCTATATATTTGGTGGTTTTTTTTTGGTGGTGAAAGTAGGCCATATTGCCTACGTGGAGATTCAAAGAATGGATTGTAATGGTGGGTGCCGACGCTTATTGAGCTCCGATTTGTTTAACCCGCACGCTTGATCCAAGTACCCCGGGTACCGTGGCGCTGTGTCACACCGCCAAATTGCTGCAGGCAGGTGGACTGCGGCCATCTAGATGTTCCTGCGCTTAGGTTTTGATGCAAAGTCTTTCTTGGGAAGCTTTAAACAAGCTAAGGCAAGAGCTTAATCAAAAGCCCATATCCCCAAATGCCGGCCCTATGTCGGGCAGTCCCCATCAGGGTCTCGTTGAACAGGGCATGTTGAAAAGACATTGACGTTTGTTCCCACCCTATACCCTATGGATCCACATACCTTCTCAGAAGGTAATTGGACCCTCAAAGCCTACATAAATAGTATCCAATTACCTTCTGAGAAGGTATGTGGATCCATAGGGGTACATACTTAATTACATTTTGATGACTCTACACTACACGTGACGGAATCAGCCACACAAGTCGCAAGTCAAAGACATGTTTCTGACATTTTCTTACAGCATTTTGTGATGCCAATATCTAGCAAAACGATCGTTTCTGAGCCCGAAACCTTGCTCATCAAACGTAGAATCCCCAGCATCCCACCACAACCGATTGCTACAGGTCTGTCAGATCATCCCTCCAAGTATTTGCCGGAGTTCACCCGTTCGGGAACAGAAATCACCTGATCAGTTCACCAACAAGATCTGTCCCACCATTGGCACGTCCCGGCACTGGCACGTCCGTCTCAAGCAGCTGAGCCCCGCACTGGCCCAAATGCCATGGGACGAGGCCTCATCGATCAATATGGTCATGCATCGGTCGTTTCGGCGAAAGCCGTCTGCCGTCTGTCGTCATCCGACAGTCGGATCCGTCTGTCGGAGTGGTCTGTGCACTGGGAAAGCCTAGGCTCCGAAAGGTCAACAAAAAGGCCGCCCATCCCGCCCATCCCAGCCCCCTTTTGATGTGATATCTTCTGATCATTCACACGTCTCACTCTCAAACTCTGCCGCATGCCGCGACAGTGGAAGAGGCTACGACAGCGAAGAAAAACCGGCTTGAGGTCCGAGGACCGACCGCGTGTGAAGCCTTTTCTCCGAGACACTCAGCTGGATGATTCCCATAAACGGCTCCGTCACTTTGGGCCAAGCCGATTTGGGACGGCCGATGTCGAATTCCTGCGACGAGGAAAGTAGGTTCGGTGCCTCTGACTTTGAGGGCAACAGGACCTCTGACTTTGAGGGTCACAGCTCGTTGAAACGCAAAATTGAAGGCATCCAAAAATCACTGTCAAAAAATGAAAGCTCTGACACGTACGATTCCAAAGGCCTTGGGTCCCTTCAATGCTTGCGCCATTGAAAATGTCATTGAATATCAGTGTAAAAAACATGGCATTCATTCTTGGGCGTCTGGGGACCAAGGCTCGCCCCCAGACGAAGGCGTATAGCCTTCATCGTGGCCAGCATTGCATCAGCCTCTTCACAGCACCAAACCTCGCGCACAACGCACGATCCCCATCACTGGGGGGATGCCAAAAGCAACATCCACGTGGCGGAAGCTGACATGCGCAGCGGATGGGCGAGGGATCCCGGGTCTGGCCGAATAGGATGACATCTCCCGAAAAAGGACTGGGGCTCGTTGGAAACATGTGTTTTTAAACTTTGGCAAAAATAAGACTGGGGGAACTATATCATTTTCCCACAATACCAAAACAAACAAAACACCTAGTGGTTTTGTGGTTCCATGTGGTCAGGACACTTTCAGAACACTCTCGGATGAACTGTCGGAACGAGTGTTGGATTCTTCGGAACGACATGCTAAAAAAATGCAGACCCCAAGAATCGAGGACCATCAAAGGTGAAGGTTTTTGAGGGTCCAAACCCCTCTGCTATATATGCAGGGTCCCAACCCTCCATAGGAGGGTCTAATGATTCTTGGGGCATAGCACTATCGGATAGCGGTCAGTTTAAATCCACCGTCTCACACACAGAAACATCGAAGACACTGGAAACCTAATCGTCCCATCCCGAACTTGGGAACGACCAAAGATGCCGAGTGACACATATGGTTACATCGGCCTGCATCATCTCTGCATGTTCCCAAACAGCTCATTTCGGTGTTGGTGTCCAACTACCGGGCGCATGAAACATGACACGGACGCCATGACACGTTGCACATTTACTATAGGGCTCCAAGCACCTTAGGTGGGACTGGGGTGGGTGCCAGGAGGGTCCAGTCATACCTTCTGGGAGGCACGACTGGAGCCCTCAAGATACTTTAAGGGGACGCCGTGACGCAGCAATGTGACACGGAGCAGCATGGATTTCGACATGCCAAGTCAATGCGACACATGGAAACACAAGTCCTGTTCAAGCATTCCCAGAATCTCCAGGGGACTGGTATACCATGCCTATACAGTATATACATTGACCCTGAATTCAACCACCCCAATGTATGGATTCATATGCCAGTCCCAGACAGGTCGTGACTGGGATATGTTGTACTGCCCAAACGCTCATGGACCCTCCCAAGTAGGGGCCGGACCCTCAAGAGTGGGAGCCAGACCCTCAAACCCCTAGGGTTTTGAGGGACCAGGAGCTGTTTGGAGCGTCTGGGTGGACTCCAACATTGGATCGATGGAATATACCAGCTGCTTCCATTCAGGGTCACGCTGGATATCTCCACACTACAGGTCTCCTACTCCGCACCTACTCCAGGAAGCGCTATGGACCCGCCGGTGGGTTCGCACCGGTCCTACAGTTGTTCCTCCCGGTCCCTCGTCGGGAGCCCCCACCGTCTGAACCGCTTCGACCCGGTTCGGTCGCAGCGGAACGTCGATCGGAGTTTGCGTGACCCGGTCACTTTAGCGACGGCGTGGTGCGACCTTGGACCCTCTGGATGATCACCAATCATCAGGAAAGGCGGCATCACCCAGGCGCACCTACATCGCTAGGTGCCCATAGTCGAGAGGAGCCATCCAGCGGTGACCAAGACCACGCCTCACCCATGTCGACCGGACATCGACGCTCCGGCTCGGCCGAGTGTGCGCGGGGTGCGGTGAATTTAGAGCCAGAGCCTGCTCTTCAATATAATTTGAATATGATCCACACAGGTCAGATTCCACGATTCATGACCTTCTCTTCCTTGTTTGCAAGTTAGGATTCCATGTTTATCCTACATAGAGAAAACACCAGCGGTGAACACATGTGAACACATAGTTTGGGCAGAATAGATTGCTGGCATATGTTCATCTACGTCATCTACGCAGGTGAAGGACAACACTCTACTTGTTGTGCGGTACCAAACAAAAACTAAGAAGCAAGGTGCCAAAACCAGATTTGTGTGGGAGGTGGTGATGCACACCACCTGCCCTGAAGTGGACAGTAAATCCACACAGAACACGGCGTCGAAGCCGTCCTACCAACCAATTCAACCCTACTGAATGAACATGCTATAATGCGGCTCATGTTTGCTCATTTGCTCATCCTCGCCACGGAGAGGGCAAGGGGGACGCAAAATTAAAAGCAACAAAAGGCGGAACAGTTTGAATGAAACAATATATCAATCATTATCAATATATTGATAAGTATAGTTATATTTTTAGTATTTTTCGTATTATATGAAACATAATACAAACTATATATTTCATCTATATAGTCTGCCTTTTTCTTCCTACCTTTCATTTCTGCAACTCTGCAAACAAGTGATGCAAAACAACACAATGCAAAACATACAGGAGGAGGGGGAACATCTCAGCTGCGTGGGTGAATGCATGGTGAACTCTCTCCCATTTCTCTCTTCTAACTCCCTGGCAACTCAACACTTCATTGTCAAACAAGTCATACTGTCATACTATACTATACTATACACATATAAAAACACAATATACAACTTCTATCAGATTCCATGATCTTCTATGTAAAGTGCTGGCTGAGGCTACCTGAACATATCTGAACTTAATCTCCCCCCGCGCGAAGATCCGCCAAACGCGCCGCCAACCGCGGTGACCCGCGGATCGTTCGGGATCCGGTCCTGTGATGTACAACCATCTGAAGACAACGTCTACTTGGTAGCTGGGTGGCCTAGCGTTCTGCCAACGCGAGTCGTGGATCGACCTGTGCTTGGAGCGAACCAAGGTCTGACACGATTTCACTGGATTTGGTCCGTGTCAGGCAGCTTGTTGACACCCGTTTCACAGAAATGTGCTTCGAAGTCCTGGTGCTCTGGCATCTGAAAGAAAGGAGATCTGTATAAGAGGACGAGTGTGGAATCAATCCCAGAAGCATCATGAACAAAACACCATCATTGGAAATGTCCGCAAAGAAGTTCAACACGCATGTCCAAGAAAAACTCTGAATAGATCCCAGCGTCCGTTCAAAGAAACTGATGTTCATCGCCTTCCCCGGCAAAAACTTCCTCGGGATCGGTTCCGTCGGTTCGTGCGACCGCAGACGCGAGGGCGGCTTAAGGCGATGAGGACCGTTTTTTGGTTCGTCTTCGATGATTTTGTGGCTCTCTCTCCCCCCCTCTCTATCTCTCTCTCTCTCTTTCCTCCAAGAACGGTGAAACAAAACGCCGAACTGTGAATGGGATTGGTTGAAAAGGGATCAATGTAGGCAAGAAACTTTTAGTCCCATGACCGGAGTGCGGAAAATGCCTTCTACCCCAAGAATCCGGGTGCAACAGGACACCTGCGTCGAAGGGTGGAGAAGGCTCGAGTTCTGTGAGGGTGGGAAGAACATGAAGGCCAGATCCACTACCAGATCGAAGGCCGATCCCTCGGGGTTTATCCTAAAGGTCCAGATCTTCAAGTCGAAGCTGGTATAGAAACCCAACCACTTTGTAAGGCGGTTGCTGGCGCAGGTTTGGCGCAAAGTGAAAGAATCCAGTCTGACAGTCTCACTGGCCCGAAAGCTCGGTATTGGAGTGGAGAATGGCCACGTCTTCTCCTACACTGCTTCCGATGTGCAGGTGCTAAGCAAGCTTATAAGCAAGCATGTGTCTTGAAAACACCTTCATGAGTCACTTCGCGATGCTTCATGACTTGGCCATCTGATTCTTCCCCCACTTCCTGGCAGGACTCTGGATGTCCATCATGAAGCGCTTGAAATCCGCCTGCGTCATCCGCTGGTGACCCACAATGCCCAGGCTGAAGAACAACTCTTGGACCTGTGACGAGTTGGGCGGTTGAGGAAATGCCTTGTTCCTGTGTAGCTGAGAATTCTTGTTACTAGTGACTTACATGGCATCCAAGCTACTAGCTTCTTCCTACTAGTAGCTTCTTGTTTCTAGCTGCAAACGATGAATCGCTCCAGGAGCCTGGCTGCCTGGAGCAAAGTGCAAAACCGTGTTCGACCATGTTGGCAGGTCATTCTTCTACCGCACTGTAAACCGAACTTCGTTTCTTGTGCATTGCCGGGCATTCTCAGTTTGAGTATTCGAAGCGATGAAGGGAAGAACGACCAATCCCCTCGGTCTAGGCCGGTCTTGTTTTCTTCATCGGGGTGATGACCCAGAGGTCGATATATCCAAAATATGCCAATCTCATGGTCCTCACCACTCTCATGCATCATATGACCCGGACAGACATGTGGAAAGGGATGGAAGCATGCGACCGACAGGACCCGCCACCAAAACTCCGAACTATAAGCATCGCTTGTAGAATGCATTTTCCCAAACACTCCCATCAAGTTATAACATGTTATAACACTTGCCTACATTGGACCCCGAAGTTCGACCCATCCGTCGGATTGATTGGAAGAAACATGTTTAGTTTGTCTTCTTCTTCCGGAGG